CCCCAAAACCCCAAAACCCCAAAACCCCAAAACCCCAAATTTTGCATAAAAATTTTAATTTAACTATGAAGAAATACAACAGGTCTTTCTTAAAATTACCTCGAAATGAAATCCCAAAAAGCCGCAGGAGGAGTGTCCAAGTGATGGAGTCTAACACATGAAAATAGCATTAAAAATAATGAAGAGTGGAAAGATAATTTCTTTTGTTTTAGAAAATAACAAGCTATTTAATGATGACAGCCCTGATGGAAGCTACTTCACTGCTAAGTCAAACAACTGCCATGTCTCTTCAAGTACAGACCTTATGAACAGAGCCAAAGGAATAAAATCTTTCCTTTCACTAATGGACAAATGAAGATCCACTCAAAAGAACAGAAGGAATGGAATTCAAATAACTATCCCTAAGGAAGAAAAACTTATGGCTCTCCTCAAGAAAGGTAAATCGAGTAAGAAAAAGAGAGATATTACCAAACCAATCAAATTTAGCGTCCTTGACTCTCAGACTCCACTGGAACAGTAAGTTTTTGACTAAATTTTCTTCCATACATCAATTCTAGTAAATATATTTAGAACAAATACAAAAGATAGCATTTCCAAGCCAAGATTAACTTATGAGCAAATGAATATAATTCAAGCAGCTACTAAGAACAACTTCACTTACCTCAGGAGAGTTCGGGATAAAAGAGATAGAAGAGACTTTAATGTTCATGATAAATAAAGGCAATTGAGCACTCTACTATGCTGTAAGCACCTTCATGGAGTCATCACTCTATAGATCAAGGAAGACTGATATGAAGCTGCAGAATATCTTATCAACAAGAGTAAATCTTGACTTATCCTCTAGTTGGAGTAAATGTTAACTCTATAAATGAAAATGGAAACACTTGTCTCCATCAAGCGATGATGAGAGACAACATTGACATGATAATGCTTCTCCTCAGGAACGGGGCAAACCCTGAGATTTTTAATAAATTCAATGAGACTCCAATATTCTATGCTTCTAACAGAATCTTGTCCAGATTCAGACTCAGAAATAAGAAAGCGTGCTTATTGAAGAATTTTGAGGAATTCCAGAGCAAAGAGAAATTCATGGAAAATAGAAGAATCCGCATTAATCTCCACCCAAAAAGAAATGAGTATTCGAGTATTTTTAAATATAGTAAGCAGAAATAGACTCCATCTTCAGCAAATGGAGAGGCAAAGAAGCGAGGAGTTAAGAGATTTTCATAATTACCAAGATAAAAAGAGTTCATGAGAGAAGCTTAAAGACGTTCAAAGTTCCTTCCAGATCAGTGCAGCTGATATTCGAGGAATTAACTTAAAATTTACACCCAAAAACAACAAAAGACAGAGTTGAAGTAAAAATTTTATCTTATATATTTTAGAGAAAAACAGAAGAACAAAAGGCAAGAAAAAGCTCGGGAAAAACTCATTCTCAAAACTTTCAGCTTCAAAATCAGCGAGAAGAGTTCGAGAATGAATGATAAAATCTAACAATGGAGGAGCCCAATCAGCTTTACAAAATAAGAGGTATCTAAACAAAGACAGTTCGCCTCTTTACCCTCATAATATCTATTTTGATTTATAAATTTCAATTTTCTCTGCTATTAAAGGGGTTTTGGGGTTTTGGGGTTTTGGGGTTGTGGGG